TTTTGTCTGTAAAGGTTTTTCTAATACCTCATAATCCCAGAGTCCAGTAGCCCGGGAACACTCTGTCTAGTCGTGGGAGACACTGATGGTGGCCTTCCCCTTTACTCCTCGTTTCCCATCCTCTCCCGACTCTTATTATCTGCAGATAGGGATCAGCATCAGTTGGCCTAACCAGACCAAAAGGAAAGACATAGCTCTGTTACCACCAGCAGCCTTCTTATGACCCCAGAAGGACCCAGCCTCGGAGAAGCTGACCCCAAGGATGACCAAGAGAACTACGAACCGAGTGTTGGACCTTGATGCCATCACTGAGCTGTTGATTAGGAAGTGCTTAGAATCACCCTGGTGACTCGTGAAATAAGTTTCCTTATCGTGAAGCCAGTTCGAGTTCATTTTACTACTACTTAGCAGCCAAAAGCTTTCCAAACGATTCAATTGTACATCTTATTAAACCTACCAAAGACAAAAATCATGTTTGCGGACATTGTCTTATCCTCCTCTACTTTATCCTTGAGGGCGGATGTTATTTTGTTACACTGCATATTGTTTCACATAGAGCCTAAGTCTTTGGTTACTCTGTACCAACCTCTTGTACATGTTTGTGGCTTTGCGCCCTTAGTAAACCCTAACTTCTATACATATTTCTTTGTTCTGCATGTCTTGCTTGAATTATTCACTAACAGACTTAATGAATACAAGCCACTTCTATCTTTGGTAAGACTAAGCATTCTGAGAACATTCTCCTAAGCCAGCACTTCACATAGCCTCGCAACTGCTGACATGGACACGTCATGGACGTGGATAATAAATACTCTCTCCCACAAGACCAACACACCTTCCTCTGACCACAAAAGTAGATGCATTTTCTTTTCTTATTTGCAAACCCCTAATCTTAAGGGGGTTATCCATAAAGTTGCTGCTTGTTTGGTCTCTACCTCCAACCCTCAACTCCTTTGCTGACAGAAACAACTGGACCCAGGTCTGGCCGCAAGCTTTAGCTACTCTGAGTCTTCCTGGCGCTCTGTTATCCTGCCAGTCCTGTCTTCTGCAATCTCACAGGTAAGAGTTTTATAAAAGAACATCCCAAACACATTGTGATCGAGATAATTCTCTTCAAAGGAAGAAGGCATTTCCTTCAAAGGCTGTCAGTTACGTCAAGGGGAAAATGAAAAAGGCAAAAATTTAATGGGCACCCCTAATAATTTAACCATTTGAAACAGCAGCATGTAAACTGACTTCAGAATCCAGAAAGCTCATCTAAAGAAACTCATTTACCCTGGAAAATGCAATATGCAAAGCTATTCAACATCAACAAATTTAAGAGTTCAAACTAAGAATAAAGTATGAAAGGATGTAAATATTACTATCAAAGTTTAACATATTTTGATTAAACAAGAATGTCTGTAAGCTGTTAAGTATACTTAGCTTTAAGCTTAAACATTTTAAACAAGAGAGGCTAGGCACAGTGCATTTTTTATTCTGCATAAAGTACAAATTATCCCCACTTCCCCTGAAAAACAGTATCATATCTAAAACACACTTTGGTGAACACTGAATATTAAGACATTACATGACACTATATAAGTGAATTAAATATAAGTGAACACAAATCCATATTCTTCAACTTTTCAGTACCCTATGAATACACCACAGTATGGGTAATAGAAGAAAATGTTTGGCTTTTTTTTAAATTCACAATTCTTTTGGCTGCCTCATATTGAGAGGCCTTTGAGGTGAAAAGGCAATCAAGTCCCCAGCAAAGGAAATGTGTCTGCACGTTCCTGTTGTCTCCTCTCCACCTGAGTGGATGGATTACTGCACTTCAGGTGTGGCTAGAGAATAAATTCAGAGAAGTCACTAAAGCAACATTCAAACGTTTCACCAATTTAGTTTTCAACATTGCAAGTTAATAGTGGATTAATTAATAACATAAATAACACTTTTTGTACATAACAGTAAAATTATTAATAACATAATGATTATGCTACTGTCCAGCAGGTATAATTTCAAAACTTTAGTTTTTTTCATTGTAAAGTTATATTAAAAATGTATGCCTAAAAAAGGTGATTAGTCATGTAAATGGACTTCAGCAGCACATGCAGGATGAATAAAATTGAGGCCATATCTTAAGCTACTTATGTAGATTCCACAAATCCTAATCCATATAACCGCACTTAATACACCTTTTATTAGTGTGATGCTGTGGGATCCTTTTCTCTGTTCCTCTTCAAGCCCTAGTTCAGGTTCAAACAATGCTACAGAGCAAGTAATAATTTGGGTATGAAATAGGCAAGTGGACTTATAAAAAATATATCAAAAAGATTGAAGTTCTAATATTTACAGAGGTAGAAAAGAATTCACAGGGAGACTAAATTATAAGGTACTAAGATTTATCAAAAAGATAATGTATAGATAACTGTGAAGTACTTTGAGTCATATTACTAATATATCAAAAACAATATTATGATTCATTAATTTCCAGATTTACTTATAATATATTATCAGAACCAACTATTCAGAGTTCAAATCTAGGAATAGGATTACATCAGGTTTATATAAATTGGCCTTATGCAGAAATCCCTGACCTTTTAGGTCTCAGCCAATGACTAAAGAAGGCTGAAACCAACAAGGATCAGAGTGCGGGTCACAGTAACACACTTCATTCTGCTCCGGAGACCCAGGGACGCCCAGAAGCCTAAATGCCAAAAAGGCTTCTTTGAAAGCCAATACACAGAAGTCCCTAAGGAATTAGTGGCTTCAGGAAGCCAAGCATTTGCCGGGCTTCATGAGGTTAATAACAATTGCTGCTGTTTGATCCTACACTTGCCTTAATGAATTTTTTGTATTCTGAAATCAAAGATTAGCAAACCAAGGCCATTCCCTGACCCGTATTAGCAATTGGCCCTGGAAAATTTCCGGGTAAGGCTGTAAACCAGAGTTGTCAACTGGGCTACACATTAAAACCACCTGACGAAGGTCTGCTCCAGATCACTGAAATAACAACATCTGGGGGAAGGGCTGAAAACCAATCCTGCAAACACTTAGTAAGCAAGGGACCACTACTCCCCTCGCGCCGGCGCCAGCATCCCTGACCGTGAATCAGACAGCTCTGCCCGAAGAGGAACTGATAGTTAATAAGGGAAATAGATTCCTGAAATTATAATATGTTTTAGGAATATATTTATATTGTTCTCTTAATAAGAGATTAAACGGGTGCATCGTATGCATTGTGTGCCTGTGTGCACCCGGACCTGTACGTGAGTTAACACTGGAGGGATGAGAGTCTTACAGGAAGGCTTCACAGATGGCTAATCTTGGAACTAGAGTTAGAGGCAAGAGGTCACTGAAAGTAAGGACCAGGGGCTTCCAAATAAAACAGAACATAAATATAGTAATCTAAATAAATTAGAATGAAAATAACCAATGATGACTGAAGCTAGGATAGACATCATCTTCCCAGCTGTGTGCTTCAGATGGGCAGAAACCTTGCCTTATATTTTTCTTACATCATTTAGAAATACCTAGCATAATTCAAGCTGAATATCAGATACTCAAGTATTCAATTTGTCACAACAAATCTGATACATAAGTCATATAAAGAAATAAATCTTCAGAGGTTAATGCTAAAACATACTATATTTTAAAGTATATAAACAAGAAATTTTGTTCCCATTTTGATAAAAACGAATAACTAATGGATTTCAGAGTGAAAAACAATATAATGTAAATTTCAAACTGCCCTTAAATTGAAAAGTGAGTAATTCATTTTATGAAACATTTTATGAAACAAATTCATTTTAAGAAACAAATCTAGAATATAAGGGAACTTTTCAAATTAAGTTGGAAAACTTACTGAATCAAGAAGATGGCATTCAGTAGTGAGATTATTACCAACTACTGCTAAGAAAAAAAGAATAATTTTTAACTTTTTAAAGAACATGCTCACAGTCAAGTGTTGTTAGAAATGGACAAAGCTTTGAAAGATATGAAAAGTTCCATATATCAAATTGCAAGACAAAAATATAGGTCATCTTATGCTATAACTTTTTTTTAACGTAGTTAAATGTCTTAGTAAAATTCTCATCCTTAATTTAAATATAAAAAGAGTCTTCTACAAACAAATCTCATGCTTGTAATATTAAAGTTACCCAAAAGATGCTAGATGAAGAACATAGTTGGAGAACATTGAATGTCTGGCCAAGCTTATGTTTATTTTGCTTTAGGCCCCAGCCAGAAGAGCACCACAGAGGAGCAGAGGAAGATAGGAGGTGAAACTATCACATCTTATATTATAACAAAAACCCAAGAGCCATTTCCTATTCCAGGACAATTGCAACAAAGTAGGTAGGAGTAGGCATTAGGGAAGAAAAACTGGTCATTTTGAAGAAAAGTTTGAGGATATGTGTTGAAAAGGAGGATAACTAAAAATACTTCAGGGAATTTTTCTAATTCTGAGTCTTCACAGACAGTTAAGGATTCCAAATAGTTAGGTCTAATGTAAAATGCTACTTATACCCAACGTGGATTAGCATCTGTTGTTGATTTTTAATAAAGTCTACCTTAACTGGTTTCATTGGAATATTCTGAAATTAGGAAATTAGCACATTTACTGTGTTGCAAAAAGATCTGAGCAGGGGCGAGCCCCATGGTGTAGTGGTTAAGTTCATGTGCTCTGCTTTGGTGGCCTGGGGTTCTCGGGTTCAGATCTGGGCATGGACCTAACACCGCTCATCAAGCCATGCTGTGGCGGCGTCCCATATGCAAAGTAGAGGAAGATGGGCACGGATGTTAGCTCAGGGGAATCTTCAACAAAAAAAAGATCTGAGCAAGAGTTTTGATACAAATGAAAATAAAACCAAACTCACTTTCCATAAGCATCCTTTTTAAGCACAGCTAGAGAAGTGTGATGGTTTGATGCCCAAGTTTCCTTTGCATCTGAAATTCTAATCCAACCTGGAACCAACCTGAAGGAAATCACTTCACTTCTCATGCTCATCACCCCCTTCCCTTCCGGGATCCTGTGACCTACCTCACAGGACTGTGGGGTTAAGGGGTAATAACAGATGCGACGTCACTTAGGAAACACAGAAAAGCAGCTTTAGAAGATATGTCACACTTCAAGTAATCTAATCACATCCATCAAAATGAAATTTGCAAGTGTTTGGGAGTGAGGATGTGATCTATTTTCCAGAAATCACGACAATTTATATCCCTTCATGTGAAAACTCTTTTTCGCCTCCTATACAAGCTCCCATCCAACCCAAATATTTTTCATCAGTAGTCTCAGCAGAAAAACTAACCTGAGAATGATTTAACAGGACTTTTAATTCTGAAAAATCCAGCGTCAAACACTATTTGATCAACTTCCTTGGGCGCTGCAGAGGCTGCTGCCTCAGCCTGCTCTTTCCGCTGACCCCTCTCTCTCATCGCCTTTTTTACAGCAGCGAGGCGATTTCTAGCTGCCATTCTCCCGCCATCGTCCTGTTTCGGTTTACTTGCTATACCCGAGACAACTTGTTTCTGCGAAGAGAAATTATGACACTTACCAAAGCGACTTGTTACCATCCTACGTGAGAAACAAATCAAGCATACATAAAATATTTCACACATTAAGCTTATACTTATCAAGTTCCTAGTATGTGCTACAAATGCTGGGGGCAAAGGGAAAGGACAAAGTCCCTGCCCTCGAGGAGCTCACGGCTTCACAGTGGATGAGCTAGATGAGGATAAACGCCATGTTAGAGGGGAATTCAGAGGGCTGTAGCAGCAGACAAGAATAACACCTAAATCATTCTTCAGAGGTGTCAAGAAAGGCTTACAGGAAGCAGCACCTAAGCTGAAATCACAGCGAGCCAGGCTAATGGTTGGGGTGAGGAAAGGGCTAGGAAGAGAGAACAGCTTGTTTGCCAAACCAGAAGTGAAGGAAGGCATAAAGGAGTTGACAAGAGATGAGCACCAGCCAGATTATAAAGTCCCTCGCATGTAACCATTGTCAGGAGCTGCGTTTATACAGAGGACAAAGGAATAGAGACTACTGATGAGTTTTAATCAGGAGATTAACATTACTGGATTTGGGTTTTAGAAAGACCACTCTGGCTACAGCCTGGAGAATGGACTGGAGGGTTACAAGCCAATTAGGAAGGAGACTACTGCAGTGATCCTGGGAAAAGATGATGGTAGTTAAATTGAGGAAGAAGTGGAAAAAAGTGAAGAGATATTTAAGAGGTAGAATCGAGAGGACTTAGCGTATTGGGTGTGTGTGGGGTGGAGACGGGGAAATAGAGAAAGGAAGGAACCAAAGAAGATACCGAGGTTTCTATCTTGGACAGCTGGTGGGATGGTAACGCCATTCTCTGAGACAGGGAAACACCGGGGTGTGTGGAGATGATTTCAGTTTGGGATATATAGATTTGAAGGTATACTGAGTCAGGATATATAGAACTAGGGCTTGGCAATAAGTGTGATTTGAAATACAGATTTGAGAATCATCACAAGGTGAGTAAGATTGCACAGGAAGAATATGGAAGGAGAGATGAGAGTTGAGGTAGGAAGTCTGAATATCACAAAAAATTGAAGGGATAACTGGAAAAACAAACTTGCAAACATGATTAGAGAATGGGCACAGAGGAGGAAAATCAGTAGGAAGTAATTCCACAAAAGAGCAAGTAGACTGTCTTTAATACTGCAGAGGGATTAGATTTTATAATTCATAAG